TTCAAAAGTCAAGCAAGGATCTTCGAGGCACGCCACTAGTGTGCTTAGTGCATATTCATACACTTTTTAGCCAACGAATAAAATATCAACGCTGTTGTGTAAAATTAACACCGGTAGTGTTCTAGACAGGTCATAGAAGGGGAAGACAGAATGGCCATTTCTGATTGCAATCTGCCATGCTTCCAACTTAGAGGACTTCGAAATTGAAACCGAATTCAAATAGTTAAAATTAGAACCGGCGGATCGCGAGTGTGTTGGTCAGTAATATGACAGTTTTCAAATTTTCGGTCAGTGACTGATTACCGATAAGCGACTGTCCGTAGGAGCTATGGACAAGGGATCTAGGGGAAAACGCGAAAGACGCATTACTTCCTGTATGCAAGTTACGCCACTGAATGCCGCCGTTCCTACCTGACCAGCCTTCGGACTGCTGCAGCCTGTGACGCATCAAACGAAACCTACTATCCGCCATCGTACATTTGTGGGTTTAAATTACTCAGTTGATTGCAAAGACTGAAAGTAATTTCAAACTCCTAATTAAAAATTTCCAGTTCACGTGAAAACGCCTTCTATTGGAAACAGACTGCAAGCAAACATGTTAGATGGAACTCTATACTACTAAGGCCGGTATGTACTGCACTAGACGGCTGCATAGAAAAGTAAATCGATCGATTTTCAATCGCTCACTGTCCCAGCCGATCGCGAAAGTGACTTTCGTTCCGATAGTTCAGCTTCTGAACGACTGTCATCGTATAAATAGATAAAAGCACAACCGTAGATTTGTCGACTTAGTTTATCAGAGCATTAATTGGCAATGTACGGTAATGTCAAGGCTTGGGTCCCATTTTTTTAACCGTTAACTTTGGCTCATCACATAACATTTTTACTTTTTTGGGCCCCTACCAAAGAACCTTTGATATAATTAAAGTTCTAATGTAAACTACAAATGACTTTTTAACTCCTATTAACAACCTTAATGATATTCAGCTGACAAATTTCTTCGAGAAATTCGTCCTTTTAAGAATCATCAAACGGTTTCCAAAATGCACGCAATCTCTCAATTCGCGCCTGTTACGTGTACGACCTCCTTGTAGATACTTTTTCATCAGTTTTTTGATTCTTACTTAGTCAATTTGGTTGCCGGTTCACCCTTGATTGATGACCCTAAGTTTGGAAAGTGCCACATGTGTGGAGGTTGTGTTTTATTGCGCAGAGCGGGTTCAGCGTTGCTTCTTCCCTCACATAAAACTATTGAGTCAATTTAATTTTTTTCGAAATCGGAAACTGACTGAAAGGTCACAGATCACTGTCCTAAAAGTGCAAATTTGGTCCGACCCTGAAAATGTTCTGTTGATGATCGAGTCCTCGATTGGTGTTCGTCAAGGTCACTTAACAAACCTTTTTGAGGTCTGACCGGATGGCAAACCTCCGTTCGGCTAACATCGGCCAGACAGGACGTGGCGGTCCGATTCGCATGATGACTGCCAGACACAGCGCTGATAGCTTCTACTTGTACGGTCTTCTCTACCTTGGACTATGCACAAGTTGGTAAGAACCTGTGTTTTTAGCATGTCCTATTTACGGTTCAATTTGCCTTAGACGCAATGGGACCAAATTTTCAAACATTAAATGTTTTGATTTAATTCCTGGTCGAACAACGAATATAGTAACCTCGAAAATGTGAAGGCGTTGCTTTTTGACATGAATATGCATTCAGTCATATTTATATGTTTAGCACACATATTAAAATTTATGGGTAGGTAAATCACTAGGCAAGGCTTGCCCGGTAGGGAAAAAGGATTAGTGATTTTGTTGAGGAAGAGTGTCCTAGGCTTACTTGAATCAACGTCATGCGAAGTCTCTAGGGTGGGACCAATTTTATAACATTTTGGTATTCCACAAAGAAGCGTTTCATCGATCGCAATCAACAGTGCTTGGTGCGCAGCATGTTTTGCTTATATAAAACAGATTTGACGGGAACACACCCGAATTTTCAGTGAAGAAGAGTTTTTATCAGAATCTTATGAAATTGCATTCCTTCTGCTTTAATTGATCTCTAGAACCCCACCCTGTAAGTCGCTGGAGATGATGTTCGTTCTAAAACATATTTACATCATGAATTATATGTTAGTGTCCGAAAAAAGGACGACTAAGCAGGAAACTTGGCGTCGCCAACATTTGGTTTTCCCAGAGTAAGGGAAATTTTTTTCTGCGTAAAACCGTATGTGCGAGCATCTATATCTTTGCTGCTCTGTATCGACACCAGCCGTTCAAAAGATGCCCAATCAGGAAAAACTAAAATGCCACTTTGATTGATGGAGCAAGTGGTTCAGTATTCATTTTGACAGAACATCGGGATAGTGACGCCCCGAAAACGAGCTAACTTCTGGTATGAGGGCATATTTCGGCGTCCTTGTCGTTGTTCTAACACCACATGTAACCCAAATCCTAGAAACAACCACAACCCTAACCTTCACCTTCACCTGCACTCAATCTGCCTGACATTTAGCGCTTGGTCGCCTCTATTTCGGTGGAGTCCAATTCTCGTGTCCTGTAGAACTAAATGCCAAACTACCCGTCTCTTCGGGAAATCGTTTTTACTTCGTGCGGCGATCTGCCACTGGGTGCCTGTCGACTGCACGACTGCATGTATTTACTTGCTTCCATCGACCAAGGTCTCACCTGAGCAGTTTGTTATGGTTGTATTGTCATTGTGGAACTTCGTAACAACTGTTGTACTTGTTTGTAAAGCACGCTTCCTCTTTTCAAACCTACTGTTATTGCAAACATCTAAAAGAAACGTCAATTAATTCAGTGATTAAGAGTGACGATATATTTCCTTCGCATAGTTTCGTTATTTTACGTCAGCGGTTTAGAACTAACAGAAAATACAATTTCTTGAGTTAAGTATTATGCTTGAAATTCTCCTAATCATTGGCTAAAATTGAGGTTGTCATTGAGGAACAAGTGACAGCAAATTATGTAGGACCATTTAGGAAAATTCTTTGCGGGCCTTAGCCTCGCAACAGCGGAATGACTTCGAAGTACTCAAAAGTAAAGCTAGTGGCTTATCGGATTTGAAACCCCACTTTACTGATATGTGCTGGAAGTGGGTTACGTGTGGACAACTTGATCAGTGCAGCTGTTCTAACCGCAAATAGGTCGACATCACCTTTTAAGTGTGAGGCCAAAATCACGCAAACTGCGGAACACATAGACACATTTTTTGCTAAAGAAATTTCGTTCATCCCAAGACACTAGACATAATATCGTCCAAAATGAGATAACCTGTTTACTGTTCCTTTTTAATTTTAATATTTTTTGCCATTCAGCTGGGGCGCAACAATCTGTTCCTCAAACGTCAGAATCTTATCAGTTGAAGAGGGACCATTTAACCTAACTACCATCGTTCCTGGTGACTTTTACGTAAGTATTTTCCCGTCCATACCTGTCTTCCTTTTTATTTTGTGGTTCATTGCGAATTTTTGGCCTGGTTTGACCTGCTGTTTTTTGTTGATGTGTCTGGCCTTTATACCCTTCAGCTGCATCTTTATTTCTTCTTAAATGCCTGTCATTCATTATCAGTAGGCGTTTTGTCCGGATTTACGTTTACATCGCTTGAATATTAGTTTTCGCCGGCGCCAGAGAGACTTCTATCCCAGTTAGGAGTACCAATCGTTCAGCAATCTGACGTCTCTGGTAGGTATATAGATTACCCAGCATCGGACACTGAAGAATCTTCTGCATCTCCTAGGGGTCTCGCAGACCGCAATGTCTGCCACATAGGTCACGACTGATGCTGCCGCTGACGAAGTGCCCTTGTCCGGAAGGTGAGCCGGGCGTCTCGTGCGTCCTGATGGGTAGCAGTGACGAGAAGTCGGTCAGTGTCAGACGCCTTATCTGACATCAGCGAAGCATTTATGGCTAAGATGCACGTAGTCGACCAGCTGCTGTACGCGTCGGATGCTTGAGCTTTCCCCCCCTTCACAGTAGTGAGCGTTGTAGCTGTCACAAAATACGCTTGCCGTTCCAGCCAACTAGTCCAGATTCATCGAGCTCAAGCCCATGTTACACGTATGTGTTGTGACTTACTAGTACAGGTTCATCCTCTGCATATTCTGTTTGTGATAGGGGATTAGCGTTTTGCCGTTGCTGGCAAACTTCGTTAGTGCAGTTACAATATCTGGTAATATGCTGAATTCTACTTCATACCTTATTTGCACGCCTAATGCAAGGCGTGCGAGTGAATTTCTTTCAACGTGGAGTGAGATGCTTTTTATATGAGTTTTGCCGTGCCACTTATCCACCTAACTAATTTTGTCGGCTCCTCCACTTGGTTCCACATAAACAGTATGCCTGAGTTGACCACAATTCTGAGATACTCCCAATAGCAGTCGCTTAATAAACAAACATGTGCTGGCACAACGCGCTGTTTTTGTATCTCAGACACGTTTCCTAAATTATGGGTGGCCTTAGGTAACATTCGTTCTCCCGTGGGTCAAATAGAAGAAAGACAAAGCTACACAGTGTATGACCAACCTCATCAACTATCAGTCGAACTTCTGAAATGGGTTTTCGCACAGAAAGGACTAGATAAAGAGGGCTGTGATGTTGATTACCACGCAACATAATCCCAGGATATTGAAATTACGTCAGAATGCAAGCTTTTGAATAAACATATTTTAGGAGACCTGTAGAAATAAAACCCGGCAAAATAGGCTACTTATATAGCACAAACGTTTTACTGCTTTCTGACGTCGATATAAATATATTTTATAGAAAAATATGCGAAAATATCCTTTCTTGTACTCCTTTGGTATAAATTTGCGTATGTCTCAAATTTTTATCTTTGAAGGAAGTGTAGCCTCAGATTTTTAAGATTTTTTGCAATTTTAGAATAATTGTGAAGTCGTCCTGCATATCAATACTTGCGCTTAGGGTTTCGAGACAACATGCTGCATGCATTCCGTGTAATAAAAATCACCCGTCTCTTTATGCAGTTAGAAAACTTCACACTGCTCCCATAACGTTTTGCAGTGGATGTGGGCCATTTTGTCAATTGGATACGCAGCATTGGTAAACGAACAGAGACGCGGAGAAATGAGCGGGCACTTCACGATCTTAAAAAGTCAAATAGCTGTAAGCATTTTACAAACCAAAATCTGCTCATTTGTTAAATCTAAAATCTGAGGGAAAAGACTTAATTTGTTACCAAATAAGTGCAAGAAACAATATTTGGATGAATATCCTCCCTAAAATGTTTTTAGTCTGTATGGATATTGAAAACAAATAAGGAAAATGCATACTATTTAGGCAGTCATTTATCGTTAAAATTTTCTTGTAGGTGGCTAGAAAGAAGCCTATAAAATAGCTGGCATCCTGTGGTAATGAAAATATGCTGCTTGATGAGCAAAATTGCAACAACACCGACGTAGCCCTTTAAAAATCATAAAAAAACTCCCTAATTTTAGTTGACTTCTCATGAGACATGCAAGCTACCGTATATTTCGCAGCTGCAAGTATACCGAAACCATAGAGGGGTTATTGAAACAAGCGGAGGAGAGTGTATTGTCTGGACACACTATGCTCAAACAGGTTCATACCGTATGAATTTGTGAAAATTACCTTCAAGTCAACTGAGTGCACCTCGGCTTAAAACCTCTTTAATGAACGCTTTGGCTTGCGTTTTCTTAATTTATAGGATATAACGTAAGATGCAGCGCGTATTCTCCAATTTTGGTATTTTCACTAAAACCTTTGTGACGGTGGCAGTATTTTATCGACGCTGGTCATGACGTCAACTCAAGAAGGATTAGGAATTTTTAAAAGCCAAACTCAAGCTGCGTTAAGCTGCACAAGATTGCACCTTGCAATTAGATATATGACAACACTGGTTCATCTATGAGCCAGAATATAAAAAGTGGATGTTAATCGGGCTTTTTAGTATGTCTACCATTTTAAACTGGGCTTCAATGAACAGTAGTCATAGATTTTAGTATTAATCTTTGCTTGTTGTTTAGTGTTTAATGACTGCGTCTTTTGTAGACGGGCGCCATTGGAACATACATGTTTCAAGCTCACAAACAAGAAAATAAGCGCTGCAGTCTGCAGAGTAAGCTGTTTGCTTGCAGTTTTGAGATAGGTAAGTCCAGGATTCATTTTCATGCCAGCGAACACCATTAAACGTTAATCAAAAGCATTATCATCTGTAGTTATTAAACCCATTTGCTTACTGCCTCTGACCTTAAAACGTCGCCATGGAATATTCTCAAGGTTATTTTCCCGAAAATTAATGTAACCCATGCAACTTAAGGAATGCGTCAATCTTATAAAGCTACAGTAGGTTCGCAAATATATACCAGAAAACAAAATGTTTGCGCTTTGTTGGTTCCGGTTATCATATACTCTTTCTCACGTCTGGACCACCTATACACTTAATGATTGTAATGCCTGTTTTTAGTGAACGAAACCGGCTATGCCATGCTGGCTATACCAGACATGACAGGTGTCGACTACATATCCCTCGTCTCAAGGACTGGTATTGGAGACATCCCCGTTACTCTTCACCGAACAGTAGCAACCACCAGCCGACCTAAAAAGCGTAGGTCATTAACTACTTCATCAGAAGTAGACATAAGATTATTTGAAAAATGTGCGAAAAATTAGCTTTTTCCCTTATCGAAATGTTGATTTTTAGTCATCCAGTCTCGGTGGTCGAATTTTTGTCCTCTCTCGCTTGCGTTTACTAACAACCGGGTTTTCAGCTCTACGCTTCTCATTGATATTGATTTATTGACTAGACTCTGCGAGGATTCGACCGTCGGTCTCGACGAGACCCACGCTGTGCTCCACAGCAGGGCGAGAGCAGGGATTCTGACTTGTGTGTGTGAATTAGTTCAACGTCGTGGTAGGCTTGCTCTGACTACCAAACGTCCTCCTCCTCACCTGGACCCGGTGTCAGGTCATAGTCCAGAAGACCGGGGCTCATGGAGAGCTCAGGTGGCTGGCGCGGCCAGATCTGTACCTAGGCGTACCACTACATCCTGGTCCACAGTATATACTGGATAGGATTGTGGACAATCAGAGGGAGATGATCAACTCGGATCCCACGTGATGGGAGTGCCACAGAAGTCACAAGAAGAAAGAGCATTCCAGCCTAACTCTCCGTCCACCAGTCCGCCAACTTGCACATTGAGCTGACTGCGAGATTCGAATTGTCCCGTCAGTTGAAAAGCTTCCAAGCCAAGGCTTTTAGCCTACCGAGGTAGTTTCAAGTTCGTCTGATTGTTTATAGTAAGGAAAATGGGCTGAGTCCGCGGTCTCACTCTCCCTTCCCATTCCCAGGCTCCAGTCACTGTCCGAACTGGTCATTCTTCTAGTGCGGACAATGGGGCCCAGTGAATGACACAGCTAGTGACCTCGTCTGCGCGCGCCACACACGCGCCGGAATTTCGCCGGCGGCATGCATCCCATACCTTATGAAACTGTCAGAGATCATACTGAGAAAGAGTTTTTGCAGACCGGCTCTCAGTCCACCTTTCTGTATAAACACTAAACACCAGGCCGCCTGCAAGGATTTAGTTACAGCGTCAGCTGGCAACTTTTCATGCTACGGTTTGAGCTCATCGTAAGCTAGATTCTAGAGGCGTAAACACTGTCTCACACTCTGCTAGTTGTCCTAGTAACCTAGGCAATTAGTGTGCACGTGGTATACTTACTTCCTCTCTAACCAAAAGGTTAGGAGTCCGCATACTTAATGGAAAATCTAATATTTCGTCAAGGATGAGTAGCAACGACGAAACAGTTGTCCGCGTCTGCGCACATGTTAGAATATTGCAAGCACTCCTAACGTTGCCCTCCTGTGTTATCTGACTACCTACTTGCAACCCTACCACTTACGGTCGTAGGGAAATAAATTTTTCTGGGTGTTTCAGGATGCCCAGGGTAGACTGGGATACTTCATATTTGAAGCGGTCGTAAATAACGTTGGAGCTAGCTGTGTATCCTCTTCTGAATGTTATGCAAGCGAACGGCAGTTCTGACTGTGACCACATGTGCCTGTAGAGTCTTGCGCCTTCAAGTTTCAAATTGGAGAAAGACATAATTTGCTACCGAACGACTGCCAGAAACACTACTCCATGCATATTTTCTATTAAATCTATGAGCATACGGGCAATGAAAATCCGTGGAAAAGAGCACATTATTTAAGTAGCAGTTGTTTGCCTAGTAGTTTTTTCAGGGGGCAGGAGTAAGTCCGTTCAGTTGCAGGTAATCTGTCATGATTATGCTGCACGATTATCAATATTAAAACTCCAACTGAGCAATGTGTTCTAGGCGATAAAACATTTCTAAATTTCGGTCAAAAGTTAATAAGACAGGCTAGATAATGCAAAAATGTCCCAATCTCTCGACTGAAAAAGGCACATAAAAACAAAGAGACTGTTCAATGGGAAAATGGAGATATTCTAAGGTTGAAAAGGCAAGTTGGCGAGCATATATCTCCTTCCGATAAATTATCTTCAGGTCTGTACATTTATATGGCTACTGAAGTAATTAATTAAAAGATACAGGCAGGTAGGTAATTAAGCAGTAGCTCGGGTTTGGGGAGGGGAGGGGAGAGTGAAACACCACAATTCCAGTCAGCGCCAGGGAGAAGGTGGGTCCCGGAGAAGGCAATTACATGCGGGCGATATGAGGATCTCGCCGTACCATGCAATAGCGAAATGGTTGGCAGAGAAAATTAGGCCTCTGCAGCATCAACTAGCGCCACATAACTATCGAGATACCTTTGAATTCCTTAACAGTGTGAAAGACCTCGATCTGAACGAAATGGTCATGTTTTCGTCAAATGTCTCATCCCCTTTTACGAAAGTGCCAGTGATGAAAACGGTCAACTACCTTTGTGATTTCATTGCCGACAATCGACAGGGTATAGGAATGCAAATTAATGCCCTCAAGGTATTGGTATAGAGTTGTACCTTGAAAGTGCAGTTCCTAATCGACAACAATCTATATAGGCAGATGGACGGCGTAGCTGTGGGCTCGCCCCTTGGCCCGCGTTTGCAAATATATTCATGGGAAAACTAGAAGCTTTCCAGCTATGTCACTATATCAACGGGTTAAGATACTATGGACGGTACGTGGATGATATATTCGCAATTGCACCGAAACAAAGGGAATGAAATAAATCAGGCACACCCATCAATACAGTTCACTCTGGAAGAAGAACAGTCCGGTTCACTTCCCTTTCTGGATGTGCTTCTGAGTAGAAGACCTGACGGCAGCATTCGACGCAGCGTCTATCGTAAGAAAACGTGGTCCGGACAATACACCCATTTTGGGAGTTTCGTACCGCTAAACGTTAAACTTAATTTAGTCCGCTGTTTGACAGAAAGAGTGAGAAGAATCTGTCCAGCTGATAGCGTTGAGAAAGAGCTTAAGCTCTAAGAAAGCCTTTTTCGCCAGAACGAGTATCCTGGTCGATTCATTGCTAAGAACATGGCCGAAAGGCCACCAAAGCCCCCGACACTGATAGCAGGAAAGAAAAGGCTCTTCATCAGGGTCCCATTTCAAGGGGATGTACCAAGTGAACTTCTGAGAAGACGCCTAACTCAAGCTGTATCACAGACCTTTCCAGCAGCTGACACCCGTGTACTGTTCTCCACCAGTCCAATCCTATACGGAGAGGGCAAGGACAAACTACCTGCTCAGACCACCTCTATGTGTATTTACTCCTTCACCTGCGCCTGTGAGGCAGAATATATTGGTCGCAAGAGCCGGCGTTTATCCAGAAGAATAAAAGAACATCTTCCAGCCTGGTTAGGAAATGATCAAATATGGTAGACACAGACCGCCGTGTAGACACCAGAGAAGCCTGCAGGGTGATTTACAAGGTCCCATCAAGCTATCCCAAACTACTTGGGCAGCGCTTCTTGGCTACGGCAGAGGTAGCTGCAATCGGGCTACGTCGACCGGTCCCATGCGCACAGAAGAACTTCGTATAGGTCCCACAGTTGCCATGGCTAAAAGCCAACAAACCAGTTACCCGCGTATAATTACATTCGCCGGGACCCACCTTCTCACGGGCGCTGACTGCAATTGTGGTGTTTCACTCTCCCCCTCCCCTCCTCACACCCGAGCCACAGCTTGATTATCTACTTGCCCGTATCTTTTAATTCACTACTTTAATAGCCATATAAATGTGCAGGCCTGAAGAGAATTTATCAAAAGCAGACGTCTGCTCGCCAAATTGCCTTTTGAATTTTATAATGGGAATTTTCGCAACTCCAAAATATTCCAAGGTGTCCGGGGATAAATAAAACGACAAGAGTTAGACGGTATGTTATGCATTTAACAGCAGTCTTCGAGGGACGCTACTCTTCCGACATAGCCAGCAGCTGTGCGGACTGAAGGGCGGGCAAGCATGCCCACGATAAACCGTGCAATGGAATATTACTTTGAGGTGTAGATATGCATATCTGTTAATCACTTATTCTCACCCACTGTAGCCTACTTTCTTACGGATGCATCGGAAACCTTTGACAAATGTCCGAAAACTGGCGAGGTGGAACTTACGTGGACAGTGTTTGGAGCTAATGAGAAAGATCAGGATCAGGTTATGCCCTAGGATCTATGCTTTTAATATTTCTTGATTATTGTTAAGTCGCACATGCTCAGCTGACTTGTTATGCAACTCGAAGAGCGAGATTAAAGGACGCAACACGTACAGTAGGTGGGCTAACTCATGAAATGTCAACCGAAATTCCGAAATGCGTTTTCGTTTTGAAAAGATTGTGAAATAATCGGCCTACAGCAAATTTCTATAATAATTATGTTACCTCATGATGCCGGCTTTCGAGAGAACTTCCCTCTGGGGGCATGCATAAACTATACTCTGCAAAAAATTACTACTTGAGTAGCGTGTATTTTTCTCAATGATTTTCGAGGCCCTTAAAAATTCAATTATATTTCATGGAAAACATGCACAAAATATTCGTTTTTTGCTCGTTCGTTATAAAGTTAAATTTTCTCCCACTCTTCTACTCGAAGGAAGGGCATTATTCGATTTTCCAAATAATTTTGAACCCGCTCTATTGTTATACTTGCATCCGGGGTTTAAAGACTACAAGCCGTGTAATTTCCGCGCACAGAAAACCAGACATTTCTCTACGGTTTTAGGAGGAAATTATATAGGGTTCATAAAGTTTAGCAGGGGATTTGATCCATATTGTTAACTTTACAAGCCACGTTGGTAAATGCAGAGACATGACGTTTTATGAACGGTCATTTCGCGGTATTAAAAAGTCTCCCTATTAGAAATTTTTTAAAACCAAATTATACTCTTTCTTCGAGTATAGAATTGGAAGAAGACGTAATTGTTTGTCGAATGAGCAAAAGACTGAATATTTTTATTCATGTTTTCCACGAAATATAGCTGGACTTTTAGGGGTATCGAAAATCAATGAGAAAAATGTATGCTAAATAAGTAGTCAGTTTTTGCAGAATGCAGTTTTTGCATGCGGCCGGAATGCAGTTCATTTAAAAGATGGCATCCTGATGTAACAGAACTATTGCTGAATTGTGCTGTAGGCTGATTAGTTTTTCAACCATACTTAATTAATCTTTACGAAACGGAAACGCATTTCGGGATTTCGGCTGACATCTGATGAGTTAGCCCACCGTCTGTATGTCAAGAACATCTGAATGTCACCATACGACCGTCCGTATGTTGTAAACGACAACGTTTACCGCGTGTCCTCGGATATGAACACAGCGTCGATAACTTGCCCAGGAAGTAGTTTACCGTGAGACAGGGCTGTACGGCGTCAACTGCACTCTCCCGCCGCTCACCTAACAAGCTGTGAGGGCTAGATACATTTAAGACGACAGAAATTGGGCGCAAACTCAGTTGCTGACAAAACTAATCAGCCGGTCATTGTGTGCAAGGCACGACGAGTAGTCTCAGCTATAAAGGGGCCGCTGTATCCTGATCTTCGGTCCTGTTAACCTTCAAAGTCGCGACTCATAACACTGACCCACGCACTCCCACGCACCGATCGACTGTCCGAGCCCGTTAGGCATTTGGCATTGGACGCCGTGGTTGACGCGGCGTGAATACCTATACAGTAGGTGGGATAAATCATGACATGTCAACCGAGATTTCGAAATGCGTTTTCGTTTCGAAAATATTAATTAAGTACGGTTGTAAAACTAATCAGCCTGCAGCATCATTCTATAATAATTCAGTTACCTCAGGATGCCGGCTTTCGAACGAACGTCTTTCCGCCTGCACGCAAAAACTATACTCTGTAAAAGTGACCACTTAACTAGCATGCACTTTTCCCAGTGATTTTCGATTCCTTTAAAAATTCAATTATATTTCATGGAAAACATGCATATAATTATTCATTCGCTTGTTCATTCGGCAGATACTTACGTCTTCTTCTAAGTTTGTACTCGAAGGAAGGACATAATTCGGTTTTCAAAAAGTTTTTAATTGTGAGATTTTTCAACACTGTGAAATGGCCGTCCATAAAACTTCCGATCCCCGCATTTACCAATGTAGCTTGTAAAGCAAAAATATGACTTGAATGCACTGCCAAATTTTATGAAGTCTATGTGGTCACCTCTTAATACTGCAGAGAAATCTATGGTTTTCCCTACGAGGAAAATACATGGTTTGTAGTTTGGAAACCCTGAATGCAAGTGTGACGGCAGAGCGAGTTCAAAATTATTCTGGAATTGAACAGTTTTAAAAACCGAATAATATCCTTCCTTCGAGTGTAGAATTGAAAGAAGGTGTGATTTTCTACCGAATGAGCGGGAGAATTAATGTTTTTATGCATGCTTTCTACGAAATATAATTGGACTTTTAGAGGCATCAAAAATCAAGGAGAAAAGTGCATGCTAGCTAAATGGTCACTTTTACAGAGTATATTTTTTGCATGCAGCTGGAAAGAAGTTCATTCGAAAGCCGGTATTCTGAGGTAACTGAAATATTATATAACTATGCTGCATAATGATAGGTCTTGCAACCCTACGTAGTTAATATTTTCGACACGGAAACGCATCTCGGAATTTTGGTTGACATTTCATGAGTTAGCCCACCTACTGTACGTCTGACATTGACCACACACGTTCACGTCAGTGGTTGATGCCTCGCACACAGTTCGGTAAACGCCTGCCCTAAGCGGGTCTGACTCTTGTTCGAATTCAGCGTAGTCCAATTGGGTTCTCTGGCCTTTCTCTTCATGTTTTACAGCAAACCGCCTGGACTTGTGAAGGTGATCCTTTATTGAACCGGTGGTGGCTACTGTCAGAAGTATGCATGCATACAATAAAGAACAGAAAAAGCATCTTATATCCTGATTTTTCCAAAACAAAACGTGGCATTCCTCCAGGACAGACTGTAGGGAAGGCATGCTTTCCTCAAAACCGTGAGAAATGTTTTTTTGAATATATAATTGATAGCAATAGGGAATATCTACTTCTGTTCGCCCAGTGTTGAGGGATAGCACCTTATGTAATTGGGAAGAAAAAGACCTGATAGTTGGAATAAGAGCTTAAAACACCCGACGTTTCGGCTTCCCGCTCGAGCCTATCCTCAGAGACAAGAACAGATACGGGTCCGAAACTTCAGGCGAATAAAGCTCTTAAGTCAGTTTAAGTCAGTTTATTAAGGGAATGAGGCTTTCGCCCTTGAGCACCCTATTCATGTCGATAAACAGAAATAAAGTCATCAATTACATCAGCAAATGCGAAAAGTTAAGAAGTTAGCGGTAAGTGTGAGCCAGGCGCAAACTGCCGCCGCTAAAACTATCATGATTGTATGTACAGTAGGTTCTCAACAAGTGAGCGTCTAGTCTGCACTTAAAGGATTTAACACTTTCGGAAAGAACGACGGCATCAGGGAGTCCATTCCATGCCCCGATGACCCTGTGTGAGAAGGCGTTCCGTCGGACGTCCGAATTAGCCCGCTTCCTTTGCAGTTTGAACGGATGACCACGCAGACGGTCAGTCCGGGCCAATTCACGTCTTTTTCCTCCCGACTGTTTGCTGAAACTCGCCTTTGCGCCTCTATTGACTGTCCAAACTCGTCGTGGAGATGCAGCTCGCTTTATCATGCAAAATGAACTGGAATTTTGCTTTGTACTAATTTTCACCCAAGTACCATTAATAGCATGTGTCACTTCTGAGGCATTTAAACGTTATTTTATGAGTTTCAGCGTTTACCCTGTAGTGAGATCAAATCCACAAAGCATTACAATCTGTCCCTTAAATTTTGCTAAATTCTTCGTACAGATCGGGAGTTGAGCCAGCTCTTTTTGAGGAATATGATTAATCAGAAGACGAGGTGGCAAGTATACGTAGCTTTCGATAAATTCTCGGCGGGCCAGTACATTTATATGGGAACGGGGTAGAAGTAAACCGCTTTAGAGAAATCGATAAAAGTTCGCCTTAAAACACAGGCGGGTGTGGGAATGTGGGGGAGGGGTAATAGCAGTCAGTGTCAGGGGCGAGGTGAGATCGGAAGGGCGCGGAGAGTTGCAGCGTTAGTCGACCTTCGACCACTTCGAACATGAGTAAGTTGATTTATAGGATGCATTGTCATAAAATACGCAATCAGCTGATTTTAGACATTGATGCGTTTTATTTGGTGATGTCTTTAAAATACTTCTACTCTCTCCTTCTCCATTCTCTAGTTTGAGTGTTTTGTTAATGGCGTCCGAAGATGCAAGCGAGTTACAAATGCGGCCAGTGAAGACGGGGAATGTGGTAATTTTTCTCAAAATGTTTGGGTGTTTTTTGCAGTTTATTGCTCCCAGACCTTCGTAACTATTCGAACTGACTTCAAAAGACAGTTGTTTTCTTTGGGGTAAGGTGATACCATACTTACAGCAATGGTACTAGCAAAAACCCCATACACGCATGTTTCGTAGATATTCGGCCGCTGCGTGGCGCAGCTGCGAGGGGTTCGGCTCGTCAGTGGGTCCCTCAGCATTCCCGTCTGTTTTCTGGTTGATACTCCAATTTAGAAATTGTTGCTTTTATAATTTCCTCAGAAATTATCTACGAACTTGGAGTAGGTCAATTTATTCAAGGTCTGTAGGCTCAGACCAAGAATGTTATGTATGAATATTTGGGCTGAAGTCTATCAGCCACAGCGGGTAGCCGCGTAATATTCATTAACTGCTGACAGGCAGCTAGCAGTATAGTTTTGGGTAAGGTGATACCATACTAACAGCACAGGTACTAGCCAAAAGTATACTAGCTGCCTGTCGGCAGTTACTGAATAGGACGCGGTTATCGCGCCGTGACTGATGGGCTTCGGCCCAAATATTCATACATTAAACTCTTGGTCAGAGTCTATAGATCCTGAATAAACTGATCTACTCCAAGTTCGTAGATAATTTCTGAGGAAATAAAAAACGATAAGAGCCGTTATCGTTATGAGTTCATTGCTCGGTGATGACCAGGGTGTCCTGAAAGGAACTGGGCATAAAATAATCCGGCATACTTATCTGCTATCCTCTTATATCTCACAGGGTCCATTAAGTAATAACGTCGAACAGCCAGCTAAGACCGATTAAAACTCCCTAAAAGCATTTATTCTTCGCAATACATAGA